GGGCCCCGAGGCCCGGTGCCGACGAGAGCGCGAGCACGAGGGCGCCTTTGTCAATGGCCCCTACGTCGTACACGTTTCCATACGAGACAAGCGTAGCAATAAAAAAAATAATCCCCCCAAAACGAAGATTTATGGCCGAAACCAACTGCCGTTATCACCGACTATGCACGCCGGCCGGCCGCTATGCATGCACTGAAGCACTAGATCTGAACGACAAGACGGCCGATGTCGAGTTCGGCTATGTTCGACCTTCTTCGCCGCTCCTCGGTCCTGTTCGGCTCCTAGCCACGCTTCCCGGACAGGCTACCCGCTTACTCGGGACAACCAACGGAGACCAGCTCTCACTTCGCGTCGGGCTCTCGTCGCGAGCGGTCGATGTGCTCGTTCACGACACTATTCCGATACGTTTTCTCTCCGGGAGAGAGGGAACCCGTTCCGTACGCGACGAGAGAAGATCAATAACGGATCCCTCCCTCTCTCCCGCGTTTCGACGCGCGTACACGGCCACGACATAGCCGCACGTATTTACACACGCACGTCATACGAGTCTTACTACCCTCGCTCGCGAAGGCTGAGGGCAGCAAGGATTTCGCGGTCATAAGACGCGTGCAAAAGATGGCCCTTCGTTTTATCGATCCTTCACGGATTTCACAGCAGAGACGCTCGCGCGGGCATCGAGGCATTTTGATGGCACGATTACGTTGCTAGTTAAGTGCGGAGGGTAGCTTTTCGGATATGTAGATTTATGCTCTGAGCTCTGATTCAGGGATTCTACGAACGAATTGGGTATTTAGAAATGAAGGATTGCAACTTAGGTTCAACGATGTACGGATATTTGATCACCGCTTGGGATCGTGTATGGCAATATATCTGGCAATATATCTACCGAAAATTGACGAATGTTATCTGACTCCAATTACTTTTGTATCTATTATTGTTTAGTTTATGGATATTCGTGACCGCCATAGCGTATTCCTCGATTTTTCGTTCATAAAGAATCAAATATTCAGATTTGAGAAATTGAAGATTTAAAAATTTGAGAATTCGAGAATTCGGGAATGAAGAATTTGAGAATTTAAAAATTAGAAAATTTTTAAACTTGAGAATTTAAAAATTAAAAAATTTTAAAGTTTAAGAATTTTAAAATTTGAAATGTGCTGGACTTAAGAATTTGGATACTTAAAGATGAGCGCATTAGGAGATATAGATATATAGAAAGTTTAAATAAGTAAGAATGTGAAAATTTGATAATTCAGGGATTTAAGAGTTTGTGAATTTGCAAATTTGAGAACATATGAATTAAAAAATTAAAAAATTTGAAAAATGACGTTCTAAGTGACATTAAAAATTCATTCTGCGTTTAAAAATTCTGGAAAAATTCACAAACGCGTACGCCATAAAGCAGAGTATCATTGCACAACAAAAATTATAAAGTTTAAACTATAAATTGCCTTTCGCCCTGTAACTACCCTTCAAGTAGAGATAGTGGCTTGATACTTCGCAAAAATGATTTTCTTTGAATGGTCTATTAGTTGATATGTTCATTAATTAATTTGGTCTAAAGGCACTTTTAACCCCCTTATTCGACTTTGGTACGTTGAGAACTTGAAGGTTTGTAAATTTATTATCATATTAATCATCTCTGTCTGTTATTGATATTTGTCGTTAATGAATATCATTGGTTATACCTCTAATCTATACATTGCCAAAGTTAATCCAGTGACCTATGAAATAATTATGCTCTGCTTAACAATATATGTTGCAAATTTATGATTATGCAAAGTAGCAATATGAATTTTCATTAAGCAAGGTATGAATTAGAAGTGTATTTGTTATTATTCAATAAAAGTATAACTCGAAATTGAATTACATAGTATTACTATTATATCTAATATAAATAGAATTACTGTTTTGCCACTGCTTTTTCATAAAACAAAACTGGTTTTCATGAGTTGTACTGCTTCCAAATGAAATACTCTTATTGTAGGAGCTGTAACGAATTGATTCTGATATAATAACTGAATAAAAGTTAACCGTTGCTATCTTTTATAAAAATATCCGCAGTGTATATTACATATAATACAAAAATTTCAATCATTATAATTTAGACAACATTTTAACCTTTTTTGTTGTTACTGTTTAATGTTACTCTTAGAAATTCATGAAATTCTATTCTACCCTAATATACTTTTATACAATGTATATGTATTTAATATAATCTGTAAATATTCTAAATAAAAAATAGAAAAACAAATTACCATGAAGGTCGAATTTTTTTAGAATGAAATGATCCATGAAAGGCAAAGAGTTAATTCATTCTGGGCTGATTGAAAGCAAAATAGTAATTTTGGTTAATCATATTTAAGCAATATTACATTAATATTTGCCTAAAACGATTCAAGTAATTTACACATTTCCTAAATAATGTATTATCTAGGGAGATTATCATATAATAGTTATTGTTATAATGTACACCTACATTGCTTTCGCTATACACTTTGTAACATGTGTATGTACTTTAAAGGTTCTGACGAAAATAAATGTTCTATGTTGAGTTTCTAACCCTTAACTCTTTAATGATCGGTGTTTCTTGACGTTCCTACAGTGTTTTACCTCATCATCCTTTAGCTCATTTCCACGTAATATAGAAGTTATTAATCACTAACCTGAAAATTAGTAATTTCCTGACGTACATTAATAGAACTACTAAAATGCAATTTTATTAATACCTCATTTATGTAGACCTCACTATGTTCATTTACATCAAATTTCAAAGATTGCAAATTCTGTAAAGCTCGCCGCCTTTATTATTCATTATTACTTAAAGTATTATTTTTTATTTTATAATATTCATAACAATGTTGAAATTAGCTTAAAATAAATTGGATTCATTGTGAGTTTAATAAAAAATATAGAAATCTTAAATAAAAAAGATTAATAATTGTATTTTGACAAATCTGTAAGTAAAATTTAATTTTTTATGTATACCTAAAACATATTTCTTTATTTTTGAAGAAATTTCAAGAACACACTTTACGTTTTCATAATGTCAATTATATTATATGAATGGATAAAGAACCAACTCTGACGAGAAAACCACCCTAAGTGACCTCAGATTTTAATGAGCTCTTGTAGGTAGTATAAATCATGTTGTCATGAATCTCTATGTACATTGCGTAATCAATCTATAAGACTTGTAATAAGGTGAAGTGGGGTAAGTGCAGACTGGTTTTTGTAAAGTTGGTATTTAAACGTAAGTATTTTCAGTCTGCTATGTAAATATTTAACGCTGTCGATATCGAACGCTTTGCACAATTACTACTATTTAATTAATATTAACTAGCACCTTAATTTTCCTTGTACATTTTGATTTTAATAGAAAATTGTTTAAAATGTAAACTACTCTGCACTTTCCCCGAAAATGTGGTAAGAGCGTAACTTGAAATTAAATACTTTGAAATTTTATTTCATGTGCAATGGGGCAAGAGCAGAATTATTAACGAATCTGCTATAAAATACTTTTTATTGCATTATGCAAGTACTCTATACTGCAAACAAGTACTCTTAGCTGAAATATAAAAGGGAATATAGTGAAACAAAACAAGGAAACAAACATACTAAATGGAGAAATTAGCTCATATTATAATAAAAATAGCCTGTATACGCACTTGCCCCGTTCACGAACTTACTCGACTTCACCTTATGCTAGAGAATTGTATTCTATTCAATATTTTTCTCCTTTTTTATTTCTAATATTCGTGTCTACATCGAATGACAGAATGATAATTATTAACCAACGACTCCTCACTGATTCTAATGAACTTGAAATATATTGCTAAGATCACTGTTCTGAACATTTTTTCTTTGAATATATTACACCGCACGTGTTTGAAATTCATAAAAATAATTTTATGCCTGAATTAATCTCAGGCTATACTGGATATAAAATATTAAACCTTATTCTCAATTATTATTAATAGCTACTAGAAAGATATCTGCTATTATATAAAAAAATGGAAATATTCTTATACTAAAATCATACTTTCGTGGAAACCAAAATTTAGCTGTAACTGATATAATACTCTCTCCAATTCCATATTGTGTAATATTGCCTCTTATTTTGCCAACAACGCTCGATGTTTTGAGTGCACTACTATCTGGATCGATGAAATTCACCCTATGCTTCACAGTTAAATATTTATACTTTTCCTTACTGGGGAAATTATAAGACTTCTATCAATCTGATATAACTGTAGAACCTGATTTAATCTATTTTTTATATACACGAAGTAGAATATCGGACGATCTATCAGGTTCAATAAATAAACGTTTGTTCGTTCAACGATGCCAAAATTTATTGTCTATTAAGAAGACGTTATTTATAATAATTTCATTTCCGAATTTTTGTTTCGCCAATTTCAACTATTACATTTTTACCTCCAACTTGGACTAAGATTTTTTCCGTCTATAAAATACATAACTCTAAGTAAAAACTTTCTCAGTCAAGAACTGTTCTTGATACGTTCAGTACATTTTCTAGAAAGGATATTATTTGCTGATGAGAGTAAATATTGTATTTTTAGTTCGGATAGAAAAAGTATAGTGTAGCGAAGAGGAAATGAAGCTTTAAAGCTAAAAAATATAAAAACCTACTTCAAAACACGGGACAGGTTCTGCGATTGTATGGGACTGCATTCTGAATACACTCGTTGGTGAACTGGTATTCAATGATGACATTTTAGATAAGAACAAATAATTGGACCGTGGCGGTCACAGGAATAAATGATATGTAATAACATGGTAGACACATTGAATAGGAAGGTGCAATTGTTCAAGCATAGAATTTTTGTTTGCACTAATTTTTAAATTACATGGTACTTTAAGATACCTTTTATTTTGATTGTTTTCTGTAAGGTATTGAATAAGAATATTCTTTTTTCGACGAGAGTAAATATTGTATTTTTGGGTCGGAGAAGAAAAGTATAATATGGCAAATAGTTAATGAAGCTTTAGAAAAAAATTTGAAATTTACTTTAAAACACGAAGGAGGTTCTGTCATAATGTAGGGATGCACGTCCAATGC